ATGGAAAATCAACGCATCACTCCTCACAGACAATACCTTTAAAAAAAACTAACAAACCCCGTCCCACGAACTGAAACTGTGCATTATGACAATTACACAGGCCATACATAAACAAGCCCTAGAAAAAACAGGCTACTACCTACAAAAACTAAAAGCAACCCAATACTCTCAGGGAAACAAAGCAAGCAAACTGACAGCTCAACTTCTTAAAACCAGGCAAGCACAACAAAAAATAGCATGCCTAACATCAACCGAGGGACACAAAATAACAGCACCTAAAGACATAAGCAACAGGTTTGCACAATATTATGCCTCACTGTACAACCTAGCCGAGGATGCACACACACCCCAACCGAACCCCCAAGCGATACGGACATACCTAAACTCCATATCCCTGCCTACATTCAAACCCCAGCAACAACAGGAACTCATGGCTAGCATAACAGTTGCAGAAGTTGCGGAAGCCATCAAATTATTGCCATTGGGCAAAGCACCAGGGCCAGATGGCTTTGCAAACTGCTACTACAAGCATTTTGCCTCAATCCTAACGCCACATCTAACAAACGCTTTTAATGAAGCTACTACACGACAACAGCTACCCACTGAATCCCTACTGGCCCACATCATCACACTTCCAAAACCGGGCAAACCACCCACATGCTCTCAAAACTTTCACCCAATATCCTTGCTTAACACTGACGTTAAGCTCTATGCAAAGATCTACGCACTGCGTCTTGGCAAAATGCTCACACAGGTTATTCATACAGACCAAGTGGGGTTCATAAAGAACAGGCAGGGAGGCGACAACACAAGGAAGATTCTGGACATTGTACACAGTGTCCAAAAATTGAAAGTAGGAGGAGTGTTGGTGTCACTGGATGCCGAAAAGGCCTTTGACCGACTGGGATGGAGGTTCCTTGAGCAGGTCCTCTTGAAGTTTGAGGTGCCGGAGGGTTTCATCTCAGCGGTCAGGGCTTTATACAATGCACCAACAGCAAGGGTCATCAATGCAGGGTTCATCTCGGACCCCCTCAAAATCTCAAACGGCTCCCGACAGGGATGCCCGCTATCGCCACTCCTGTACGTCATGGCCCTGGAGCCTTTGGCGGCAGCGATTAGGCAGCACTCCTCCATACACGGGATAAAAATAGGGGATAGGGAATACAAGGCGAGTTTATTTGCGGACGACATCCTTCTAACCCTGACACAACCCCACATATCCCTTCCCAACCTAATGGCCACCATCACGGAATACGGGAAACACTCCTACTACAAATTAAAAGTCACAAAGACACAAGCAATGGGATTGGGAATACCAGGGGAAACACTCAATAGACTCAAAAACGCCTTCCCCTTCGATTGGCGAGTGGACCACTTAACTTACCTGGGCATCCGCATCCCACCACGCACTGAAAAGCTACTAGACCTCAATTACAACACCCGAGCACTTGGCCAGGTACCCGAGCACTTGGCCAGGATATACCCAAACTCTCCAAATACATGCTGGAGATGCGGAGCAACAGGAGGCTCTATGAGCCACATATGGTGGTCATGCACGGAGATTAGGAAATTTTGGAAGATGGTAGAGGAAATAGCAGATGACCTACTGGGTAAGCAGTGGCAACTCACCATACATCAATGCTTACTATTTATGTTACCACTCTCAGTGACCAAAATAGAGGAGTCCCTGCTGTTCCAACTCTTAATATCAGCAGTAACCCTAATAGCCAGAGCATGGAAATCGCCACAAACTCCATCCAAGGAAGCCCTAACACAACAAATAAACATTAATTGCAATACGAAAAGATGGCACATAAACACATTGGACCAAGGAAACACATAGCCTTAGCTAGTGAGAGGTGGGAGGAGTACAAGGGTAAGGGACAAAGCGATCAAACATTGGGTCGATGACCATGAGTGGGCACAAAAAGAGCACAGGAAAAGAACGACCAACAAAGAGCTAGGAGATGGAAAACCCAGAAGTGACGACACATAACACGCTGCAACATTAGCACAGGTGGTACTAATAAAGACCACAAGAACCTTTATGGAAAAGGGTAACTCAATAATTTAGCCTGCGCTGAGTAGGCCACCTTAAACCCAAGTGCCCAGAGACTAGAGCAGCACCATGTGTATAATGTATGATGTATGACGTTTGATGTATGACTCATGTGATGTAACCTGAAAAGACATGGAATGTTTTGTTTTTTGATCCTTTCCTCCCCCATATCCCTTTCTTTTCTGTACCCCAAGTTTTATAACAATGTAAAACAATAAAAATTATCAATTGAAAAAAAAGAAGTATGGTTTGACTTATCTGCTACATCCAATTGGAAGGCCCCAGCGAATTTATATTGGATCTGTGGTAAGAATGCATATTCAGAATTACCACAAGATTGGGAAGGGGCATGTGTATTAGGTATGCACAAACCATCCTTCTTCTTGTTGCCAATTGAGACAGGAGAGACCTTGGGAGTTAAGGTTTAAGATGTAAATCATAAAAAGAAGCAAGCATCCTTGAATATAGGTAGTTGGGAAGATGATGAGTGGCCTCCCCAACGCATTATTAATTATTATGGACCTGCTACTTGGGCAGAAGATGGTACCTATGGATTTAAAACCCCAATATATATGCTCAACCGTATTATAAGACTACAGGCGGTGGTTGAGATTATCACTAATGAGACAGCTCAAGCACTTTATCTTCTAGCTAAGCAAAATACTCGGATGAGATCAGCCATCTATCAAAATAGATTAGCTCTGGACTTCCTATTAGCAGTACAGGGAGGTGTATGCAGAAAGTTTAATCTCAGCAACTGTTGTTTGCACATAGATGATGAAGGGCGGGCAGTGGCTGAACTTACAAGCCACATGGTTAAACTGACGCATGTACCTACTCAGGTCTGGAATGGGTATAATCCAAGTAGTTGGTTTGGAAGTTGGTATGAGCAGCTTGGAGGGATTAAGGCGTTAGTAGGAGAAGTAGTATTCATTATATTCTTATGTCTCTTTCTGCCCTGCCTAATTCCATTAGTGGTCAGATCTACATGTAGTATCATAGAGAGTACTATAGAAAGAAAGACAGCTGCTCATGTAATGGCTGTCCATTACATGAATCCCTAGCCCAAAGAGAACATATTCAGGATGAGGAATGCTGAAGGAGTTTGTGATGATGCTAAGATGCTTACAAGGTCTGTTTTGGTCCATGGTTACTTGAGAGGTGTTGGTAAACTATAATTGGTGATGCGTCTGGAATAATTTGTATCAGAGGCATCAAAAGGGGGAATGTGATGGAATTTCAGTGAAATATAAATTTAGTAGGCTGAGATTTCCACGTGGCATATGTGTATGTTGTATCAGTTAGTTAGTTACACATAGCTAAGATACTGTCATCAATGTACTGAGCATGTGCAGGAATGCAGGAACTGAAATCACATTCCTTTCTCCTTTGTTTCGGATGAGCCATGTGGTCTGCCCATATAAGGAAATCCAAATCCTGTCCACTGATTGGTTAAGGGTATATGCGGGTGGAGCTATTAATGGAAGGAGTTATAGTTCTATAAAAAGCATGTACTCCATGTGTTCAGCCCTCAGACCGATCGGTATGTTAATAAAGACCTCTTACTTCCTGAAAACCTGCATCCATCTCTTTGTGTCTGGCTTCTGCAAGTTTACTCGGTTACACTTCCAATTATGTAATTTACTAGTCCAGTAATGGAGGTAACGTACATTCAATATTCAAGAGTGATTTTTTTTAAAATTCTGACTGTAATGGCAAAACTACTTGTGATTTCCTGATTTTTCTTTTCCATCTTATGAAATCTTTAAAATGAAAGAAGCTAATTGATAGGCATGATTATCACTTTTCATGTAGCTACATATGGAACACCACATGCTATGACATGGTTTATCACTCTAAATTGTACATAATGTAAATAGAGCACTCAAAGCATAATTTAAACAAATTTAGAACACCTTAATTACAAATTAAGTTTACCAAACCACTCTCTTTCACATCAAATAATTAAAAGGCAAGAAAATGTTTGATCAAGACAGTCAACACTTTTAATAAAGCAAACTAATTTTTATTTCTTGAAAAATTACTTGTTCAAGACACCGTCACTGATAGATTTATTTTATTTAGATGTAAAATACATTATATTCCTGATGATAACTATTAGATAAATCATTCAAAATTCAGCATAGTCAACATTCGACATTCCAAAGCTTCGATATAATATTTAAAACTGTTTAAGATTTTTGGATAAACTTTAATTATTTTTAGAAATATATATAAAAAAAAAATTCAAACTATTACACACATTTTTCATAATATTAAATAATTTTTAACCTTTATCCAAAAATATTGAATCAAAAGTTTTTAGACTATCCAAAATGTAATAACAAATCAAACCCCAGTGAAACTGTAAGGTGTTTTTGCTTACAGGAAGGGTTCTTTACAGAAAGAATACAGATGTGGAACTCTTTACTTATAAAGGATATCTTATCAGATACTAGAGATCTGGATTTTTTTAATGCAAAAACTAAATATTTACAAGGATAGAATTAAAATGTATGTGAACACGTTGCTGACCCAATAAGAAATGTGTAAATATATATATATATATAAATTTTTATATGGTTACAGTTGTTTTTTTTGCCTTCTTTTGGATAAACAGCATAAACAAAATGTGTTTCAGGCTTGAACATGATGGATTTTGGTCTTCTCAATTTTAATTCCTATGTAAAATGCAGAACATATTTATTTGATGACCCTGATTTTGGTTTGGAAATGTGTTCATTTTTTTTAAATCTCTGTTAGAAAAATTGTTCATTGTTGATTTTCAGAAGCCCATTATTCCTTATGGGCAATACATTTAAGGTGGCAGTCACAAGGTTACTAAAAAAAAAAATATATATATATTTTTAAAAAAATAAATAAAATTACCAATTTAGGTAGTTAGCTTCTAAACTATGGAAAGCATTGGATTGGCTGAGAAAATTAAGATAGATAATCCAAGCAAAATAAAGCGCGGGAGAGGCATGGGAAAAAAGTGAGTTTTACACATTTTTAAAGTTAGCCGAGGAGGGCCTGGCCCTTAACGGCAATTTTAAAAGTATAGTCTGAGGAGTATTCCTGACATAGTTTTCCTCTAGGAAAGAGTAAGAAAAGTAAGAATGTTGAGCTGCTTCGTAGATAACTCCTGAATTTGTGGTCCTTATGTGGGATTATAATAATGATACAAATTAAAACAATAAAGATGCTATCTCCCAAATAGCATCCTAATGTGGTATCCTTAAATATCCGAATTTCATTTTTGACTGAAATTAATTGCACATCCTTACAAACTTGCTTTCAATGTCACAACGTTTTTAAAAAGCAACAGTAATTTAGTTCTGGTATGTGAACATTCATTGCATAAGCCTGAGCCAGCTTTATTGTACTCTGTTTTTGACTGGCCCTACTCTATACCAAGCAAATGACTGTTCTTATGAGATTATCCCACTTATCTAGGATATCCAACCTCTTGGATTTATCCCATTAACTACAGAACAGTTTGCAAAAGAAAAAAAAAAACCTTCAAGAATCTGAATATTTTAGGTGTCCTGAAAATAAATGTTTAAATATATTTTTTGTTTTAGTACACATAGATGGAACCAGTGGCAGAACTAATGCAGTGTGGGACCCGATGCAAGAAATAATCATGGGCTCCCCCTAGCACACAGACAGATACAAACATGCACCTATACTGGCACACATACAAACTTTTACCTACTGTAGCGGAGCGCTAGTTTAACATAGACTTTTCGCCGCTGGTATTCCAATAGTTACTCAGGAACAAGTAGGTTATCCAAAGAACAACAGCATAAGCAGTAAATAAAGTAATCCACAAATCTCCCATAACCTTTTCCCAATAACTGAATGACACTCAGTATCAGGAGCAGAACTGATTTTTAATGCCACACACTCTGCTTTTTTTTTTTTTTAATTCTTGATTTTTGGTGCAATAAAGTTTACAAACAGGCCTGCGGTGCCACGACAGCAGGCACAGGCTCAGTAATGCAGACATGGTCATGACAATATACAGTTGCACATTTTTTTTTTTTTAAAGACAAAATGCTTATGTATGTTTGTTGCAGATAATAATGTATCTCACAAATGCCGAAGTACACATTCCAAGGAGTACAAGAGTGTGAACTTTGCCTTTACACTAAGATTAGGATGTACATAACATGGAAGAGTACTCAGAGGAGCGACAAAGAGAGGAAAAACATGACTTGCACAATCATTACCCACTCTGATTTTATGCAATTCTCCCATGCAAGGGAGACGCCCACAGAAAATTTGGAATTATCCAGTCACTAGCTGGTTACAGTACACATATTCCCTCCCCTCAGAATGAGAGATAACTTAATTATCTGTACAGTTTAAACACACATTTTTCCCCAATTCTTGGGGGATGCACCCCAAAACTATAACCTACACCCATAAAGGATCAGAGCAGGGGTTCAAACGTTTTGTGGAAGTCATATTAGACCGACCGCACGCACGCACATTTTCATGCCCAAAACAGTTCCAGAGAATAAGGCTTTGCGGCCGGTCTTTTTCCAATTTTAACTTCAGTTCAAATAGACGAACAGCAACCGTTCATGCAAACCGTCAATATTAAACTGCCGTTCAAATTGTCGAACAGAGTTAGACTCCAGTTGAAGTGTTGAAGTCTGAAGAAGGTAAAGTTCAGCGGTGTTAGCGCCGTCGCGTGTCCGTTTTGAGTTCCATGAACTCAATGACCAAACACCACTGAACGCATTCGACTGAATTAAAATGGCTGCCACCACGTGTTCGTATGTCGAATGGTGGCCACTTTGACTACTTCGGCACTTCGGCTGCATCCAAAGTACCATTTCAAAAGTACAGATCATTTCCCATAGGATTTAAAGGGGCAGAAATAGTGTAAAATACTGCAACAATTAAGGGTAGGGACAGCCAATAAAAAAAGTGATGAGTAGCAAAAAACAGTCCGCTACACCCACCCACCCACACACACACACACACACACACACACACACAGAAATGCACATACTCACAGATCCACACACATACACTCTGGCACACAGATACAGTCACACATACACAATGGCTCACACAGATGCACACAAATACCTACACATAAGCAATGACACACACACTGATACACACATACAAACAATGGGATACACACAGAGACACACAGAGGCACGCACAGAGATTCACACTGACCCTCATAGATACACATTTAGACAAACAGATACACATACCTACACAAACACAATGCAACACACAGATACACATACCTACACATACACACTGACAAACACATACCTACCATAGAAATACACACTGACACTCACAGATACACGTACACACTGGCAAACAAATTGCAATTTACATATAATGAACCAATCCCCCTGCTTCTATACCTTTTAATTGCAGGGGATGACTTTCTGGGGCTGGTTGCCACTAATGGCAGTCTGAGGCTCTCTGTTTGCTCCTTCCTCCCTTCTTAGTGCCTCATCTCTGTACTCCCAGCCCACACAGTCTGTAGGCTCGGAAGCAGTAACAGATAGTTTCTTCCTCCCAGCACTCTCCACACATATTAAAAGGGGCTCAGGCAGGCTACAAAAGGGACCCAGCACCTGACTGGGCCCTGGATTTGACCTGCATGAGGGGAATTCCTCACAAAATTGCAGGGGCTCTGTCAAGCTCTTAAAGGGCATCGGCACCAGACCGTGTCCCTGTTTAGCAGTAATACCCATAGCTGCACTGGTGGCAGTTCTACCACTGGATTGAACATTTTTTTCATGGAAACAAATATGAAAATATTGGTTCGACAAAAAAGGTATTATAATTATTTACCAAATAATGAAGTTACAGAAGAGAAATCCATGTTGAGTATATGTATTATATATAGATACACACACACATATACACACACACACACCATAGATTCCTGATCTGTAACTTCATTATTTATGTATGTGTGTGTATTGTATAATTATTATATATTCTGTCACATTGCCATGACATTGCCCAAAACATATTTTTTGGACAGGACACATATTGATACATGCACACATAAACCAAACACTCATCGATACCAAAATACACTTTCATACTCACACACACTTATTTGTTGCCTTGCACTCTTGGAGGGAGGGTGGCAGTCCATCTGTTCTGCCAAGTAGCTCCCCTGCTGTGCTAACTAGGAAGATGGAGGATGTCATGTCATGTCACATCCCCTCTGTGCTCCTTGTGAATATACAGACACACGCAAACAAAGCCAGACTGGGAAAGAAATAAAAATAAAATTGGTCCAGGCATTTTTTAATTTTTTTTTAAATCACAGTGGCCACTAAGAAGGGGGCAGGGCAGAGAGGGTGTGTTTTGTCATCACCAATGACAAGCATGCACCCTCTCAAAGTGAGCATGTTGGTTCAATGCTCTTCCAGGGCAGACCATGCGCAGAGCTCTACTGAAGAGCTCTAGCATGAGAAAAAGGCCATGTATGCGTTCTGCACAGTGCAAGCAAACTTAACATGCTTGTTTCCTTGCAACTTGTCTCTGGTGTCTCTATAGATGGGGTACCAGGAGACAAAAGGACAAGGTAAGAGTATTGTGCATATGTTTGGAGCCTGCTTGTGGGGTTGCGTGTGTGTAGAGTGAGCTGATTGTGGTGTGGTATTGTGTAATAAGGTCAGATTTAGTTGTGTTGTATTTGTGGTGTAATGTAATGCATGTGTGGCTAGGGGCTGTAGAGAGTGTGTGCATAGGGGATGCAGTATGTGTGTGAGAGGTGCTAAAGTGTGTGTATATATATATGTGTGTTTGGAAATATTGTGTGTGTGTGTGGTGCAGTGTGTATGTGAGGGGTGCAGTATGTGTGTGTGTGTGAGGGGTGCAGTGTGTGTGACAGATGCTGTGAGTGTGAGGGGTGAAATGTGTGTGAGGGAGCTGTGTGTGGGGAAGGTGTGTGTGTGAGAGTGATGTGTGAGTGAGGGTGCTCCCCACCGGCCCATCATTGACTACTGCAGGGCTGGTGCTCGGATAGTGCCAGCCCTGCATGGACTGGCCAGGGACGTCCTATGACCTCCCCTGACGTCCTTGGCCCATGGCCATTGTGGCCCACCGGGCCTGCACGCAAGGAAAAGGAGCTGCATCGAGGAGTGTTAAACACAAAGAGTTTATAGCTCTGCATTCAGCTCTTTGAAGCTTATGGACTGTAATAATGTCACAAATGGAAAACAAAATGTGTTTGTAATAAATTAATTTAATTTGCAGTTATGCTAAATTGTGTATACACAATTGATGGGTATGAATGCATATTCTAGCAATCGTGTATAAATGTTGGCCAGTGTGAAAAGGTTAAGGAGAGCCTGCAATGAAGGACCTATTGCAGGGAAAAGTTTAAAAATTAATTCATATTTTACTGGGAACACAACCTAAATAGTACATATTTTAAATATTTAGTTAGAACTGTTTCCACTTTTATATCCATACAGCAATAAAATCAACAGAAATTTCTCATTATTCTGGGTATCATTTTGATTTGCAAAATATTATGTGTTTGTGACTAAAGATGTTTTGGCATATTCCTAATGTGTTTGCTCCACTGTAATTTCCAGATTTGTCAATAATTACACCCATACACAGAATGTAAAGATACATTAGCTAAAATATTAAAGCATTATTTCTTAAGCATTGCCCTTTATGTGCTTGCATATTTTGCCAGTACTGAAGTATTAGACTTGGAGGCATACTGTGGGACGTAATAAGATTATAATAACCACAAGGGGTAAATTTAACTTGGTAAATATTAAACAAATTTTCTGTAGGTGGCACAGTTATCTCTACCCCCTCTTTTTTAAGGCAAATTCCAACAAACACATCTTCCAGATGCAGGTATTTTATTTTAAAGGATGATCTCAAGATTTTGGGAGCCAAATCTCCTGAAAGCACATATCCAGTTCCTGAGCAAAAGTCTGGATAACGGCTCTCTGGATAAACAGAATATGGAACATACCATTTGCTTTCTTTTGATCTATGAGGAACAGGATCTTTGAAAAAAGCACCAGTGAAGAAATTTTGTTTCGGTGGTAGGTTTGGTTGAAGCATATCCAGTAGATATTCAGTGTTCACAAACATGTCACTGTCAGTTTTCATGACATACTTTGATTGAGGACAGTAGGTGGAGATCCATTCCATTCCCATAATAGTTTTGAAAGTCAAGTTGTTATACGCCTCCTTAAAGTCTTTTTGGATAATATCATGGTATGTCTGACTTTCATTTAAAATCAGCTTTAAATCTGCTCCTTTGTCAAAACCCAACATAAACAGATGCATAATGGTTAACCCATCCTTAGCCCCATTTGCCTCATCTGCCCACGTTTTCCTGATAACCTGTCTTTGTTCCACTTCCGTTGATATAGTTGCTATAAGGATTATTAAGAATGGGTTTTGATCCTTACATTTATCAGGTTCATTTATAATATATTTATAGAAATTTATATTTAAATATGTATTTGGATCCAAGGTTGTTGTAGAAACATTTGAAATCACTTTTTGAATCATTGTTGTCACTCTGTTCTTTTCCATGACTTCCAAATGTCTCTGAGAATCATTGTCAGGAGAAATAATTTGCATTTGATGCAAAGAGTTGTTTTTACTCAGATTTGTGTAATATACATATCCACTCGAAAAAATGAGGGTTACAACCACATAAATCAATAAGATAAAAAAATTTGTTCTGCAAAAAGATGATAGTCTGGTGCTGCATGCCATATTGGATGTATCTAAAAGTGACCAAACCTAAAGATGAAGTGTTGACCTGAATGGTACAGGTGTCTCATTTAGAATCTCATTTACTCTGAAATGAAGATAATTTATTGTTAACATTTCTTGAAATAATTTCTAATATGAGGTCTTTAGTGAAAGAAACACAACTTTCAAAAATAAATGTTATTACTCATCTGCAATCTAGAGCAGACTCTCCACATCAATTGTTCTACCTTTTCTGAGATCAGTCTAATTCCTGTCATTGTGAAATTGGACTGCTACAGGCAACTATAAAGGCGACTAGAGTTTTGTTTCAGGCAAAATGTAAACATTGTCATTTCTCTAAAATAGCAATGTAATACATTGCTAGAAAAAGGGTCCACGCACCAAGAACACTTCATTAAAAATAAGTGATTTGGGAACTTTAAGTGTTCCTTTAAATGCTATTGCACATCCTGCCATCTCAAAAACATCATACTGGTAACCTTTGCTATACAAAAGGAAAAGGAAACATTAAGCTCCCGAAATTTGTTTGTACTCTGTCATCCTTAAACAAGTAGCGTTTTTCTGATTTTAACTATGTTGTAATTACTGAATGATGCAGTCATAATGGAAATTCATCCCATTGCAATTCCTTGATGGTTGTCTCTATTTATGTCTTGAACAGTATTGAAATAAACTCTGTCAGGAAGTAAAGTTCCACAAGATAGCTTTCAAGGAGTAGTACCATTTTGACTATATTTATTACACTGTCTGAAATAGTTGAGTCACATTGTGACTTTGAAATAATAATTATGTATTCAATGTATTTGGTGAAATGTTGATGAAAATCTTAGAGAACACCAATATATGAAGTGAGGGGATCAGGGGATGTTTTCCCTGAGGTAATTTAGTTGAGGCATTAAGGATGAAGTTCTGTTATGTAGCTGTGGGTTGTTTTTCGTACAGTGGAGAAAGTTATCATATTACTGAACTATTTGCTCTTTGCATGAAACAGCCCATCCTCATCACTTGATATTTGAGAAATGAGAGACAGAAAGCTGGAGAGGAACTGAGTATACTAATTGGCACAGAAGACAGGGAACATAGAAGAGTGGATGACATAGAAGCCAGGTCGATGCAGAAAACTTGGGAACATGGAAGGATATTTGATAAAGATGGATGCTGGTGAACACCTAACACTCTGGGATACAGAAGCATTAGTAGTAGCAACACTTAATTTCCTGTGTTAGGTGTTATCTTTCTCTCTGTCTGCATACTTTAATAAAGTTTGAAGTTATTTGTTTCCTTTGTGAGGAGTTCTTTTTCTGAATAGTAAATCAATGTCTTATAGAAAATAAATATTTTTTTTCTTAAAGGGACACTATAATCACCAAAACAACTTTAGTTTAACCCCTTAAGGACACATGACATGTGTGACATGTCATGATTCCCTTTTATTCCAGAAATTTGGTCCTTTGGGGTTTTGAAGCAATATTGGTGTGTAGCTAATGCCTCTGAAGTTTCACTGCCATTTAAGAGTTAAATCACTTTTGTTTCGGTTTATGCAGCACTAGCCACACTGTCCCTGGCTATAACCGACACACACTTCATGAAAACAAAATGGTTTCATTTTCAATCAGATGTAACTAAATTAAAAAAAATATATTTCATGCTCTGCAAATTGAACTTTAATTACATACAGGAGACATCTACAGGGTCTAGCAAGCTATTAAAAGAGCAGGAGGTAGGAAATTCTAAATTAAACAGAATTAGCAATAAAGGAAGTGTAAATATTGGATGAATCTTTACAGGAAGTGTTTAGGAATGCTATGTAGGTCACATGTAGGGAGGTATATCTAGGGCTGCATTCAAAGTTATTTAACTCCTAAATGGCAGAAAATTGAGCAGTGAGACTGCAGGGGCATTATCTTTCCACTAAAAATACTTAATTAAGCTAAAGTTGTTTTGGTGACTACAGTTTGAGCTGTCAGCATCGTGATTTCTAGATCACTTACTTGATCAGATTATTACAGGTCTGATCTTTATGCTTACAACATTAATACATACTGAATCTGCAACATTAAATTATATGTTCAACAACCATTTGGTTACATAATGTATACATACAGTTGTATTATCTATGAATAAATAAAGAAGGAAGTACAGGAGAATTGTACCCACCTGTTCCTCATGCAAGCTTATCAAAAGTATGTCCATCTTGCCTCGACTTGCAGTGTTCAACTCAATATTTTTCTTTTCTATATACTGGTTGGAGTAATGTTTCAGTAATAATATTAATATTTGTAAGTTTCCATTTTATGGTACGTCTCCCTAGGTATTGAACCACCTAACTGTGTGCATTGCAGGATACAACAATATCTGAAAACAAGAATAATGATGAGATAAAATAAGAATAATTGATTGCTGTTATAATCATTTAGTTCCGGAAGGGAGATTTATTATTCTGGTGGGTCAATTGAATGGGATGGACTATAGTTTAGTCAACGTATATCTACCTAATAAAGATCCAATTAAAACATTGACTAAAATTTTAGGTCTTGTAGAACAGGTTAAAAAAGGTAGAGTTATGATTGCAGGTGATTTTAATTGCATTTTTAATACCTTATTGGTCAAGCAATTGGCTAAAAACCAGAGGATAGATAAATCCCTGAAAAGGCAGGCAGCTTCTTTAAGCAGAGTGATAAAGAAAGCGGATATGTTTGACTGTTGGAGATTGTTCCATCCCAATGAAAGAAATTTCACGCATAGATCTATCCCTCATAATTTGGCTGCTCGGATAGATATGATTTTGGGTAATTTAAATTTAGTACAGACTATTTCCTCAATTTCTATTGCTGAAAATACTTGGTCAGACCATGATATGGTAATCGCAGATCTGGTGGTAAATAATAAGAGACCTCCTCCGATTTGGAGATTGGCAGATTATCTGTTAAAAAATAAAGCAAATATAGAACATATAGAGAAGTTAATTGATTTCTTTATTAAGGAGAATTCATCTGAGGAGTTATCTAAAGAATGTTTATGGTGCTCCTGTAAAGTAGTTATTAGGGGACATTGGATAAAATTAGCAAGTTACCAAAAAAGGAATATAGACAATATTTTGTCTGATCTCTATATTCAATTTTATAATCTTTCTAAAGCTAATAAACAATCCTACTCTGAGGAGAGAGCTTTAATCATTAAAGTCTACCAAGAAAAGATAAATGACCAGATTAAGAACAGGATAGAAATTAATCTAAATAAGTTAAATATTAAATATTACTATAAGAATAACTGGGTTGACTCAGTGTTAACAAATAAATTAAAGAAAAAGATGACTGACCATAAGATCTCTAAATTAAGAGATTGAATTAAAGGACCACTCTAGGCACCCAGACCACTTCAGCTTAATGAAGTTGTCTGGGTGCCAGGTCCTTCTAGGGTTAACCCATTTTTTCATAATTATAGCAGTTTCAGAGAAACTGCTATAATTATGAATGGGTTAAGCCTTCCCCCTAATCCTCTAGTGGCTGTCTCATTGACAGCCACTAGAAGCGCTTGCGTGCTTCTCACTGTGATTTTCACAGTGAGAGCACGCCAGCGTCCATAGGAAAGCATTATGAATGCTTTCCTATGTGACCGGCTGAATGCGCGCGCAGCTCTTGCCGCGCGTGCGCATTCAGCCGACGGGGAGGAGAGCTCTCCGCCCAGCGCTGGAAAAAGGTAAGTTTTTACCCCTTTCCCCTTCCAGAGCCGGGCGGGAGGGGGACCCTGAGGGTGGGGGCACCCTCAGGGCACTATAGTGCCAGGAAAACGAGTATGTTTTCCTGGCACTATAGTGGTCCTTTAATTATATCTATAAGCCAGATGAAATTGCCAGTAACTTTAGAGCTTTTTATCAAAAATTATACAACCTGAATACATTTCCTGATCTAAAGTTGTTGGACAATTACCTGAAAAATTATAATCTATCCAAATTATCTTATGACCAGACGGAGAAGCTTAATAGAAATATATTTCAACATGAAGTCGAGTTAGCAATTGATAAGCTTGTTAATAGCAAAGCTACTGGTCCGGATGGGTATACAAATAAGTTTTTTAAGGTTTTTAAAAGACAATTACTCCCGTTGTTAACTAATACCTTTAATGAAATGGAAATCAAAGGGACTGCCTCTCAAGATTTATTAAGGGCACATATTACTCCGATTCTGAAACAGGGTAAAAGTCCTTATGATGTGAGTAACTATCGTCCTATTTCTTTGGTCAATGTGGATATTAAACTTTATGCCGCAATTTTAGCGGAACATTTGAAAATAGTCCTGCCATCACTTATTCATAGGGACCAGATAGGCTGTATGCAGGGAAGGCACTCCGCTAACAATACGTGCAGGGTTCTGGATATTCTAGAATGGGCTCGGTCTGAGGGAACCCCCCTTCTGACCCTGTCGGTGGATGCAGAAAAAGCCCTCGACAGGGTCGGATGGGGGTTCTTGAGAAGAACTTTACTACAGTTTGGCTTCGAAGGGTGGTTTATGAGTGTGGTAGGAGCCATATATTCAAATCCCTCTGCCCGTATAGTAGCCCGCGATCTATGCTCAGAATGGTTCTGTATTAATAATGGAACGAG